TTTCCCCGATTTGTTTAGAAAACTCCAAGTTTTCCTTGCAGATGTCAGATCTGTTCTTCTTCTGAGCTGGAGTCAGCATTCTTGGGACCCATCGAGAACTGACTTTGGACATGTGTAATTTTTCATGAATAATGTGAATCACTGTGCCCTCTGAAATCCCCAGTTCTTGAGTTCAATCCAATTTGTCACACATTTCCTGATCAGAAGCCTCCACTGGGCGCCCCGACCTTGGGTCATCTTCAATTGATTCTCTTCCCCACTTAAACTGCTTGCTCCAAAATTTAACTTGGTAATAAGAAGGCGAAGACACACCATAAACGTTAGACATACGTTCATGAATCTCCTTAGGTGCTTTCCTTTCTTTGGTGAGGAATTTGATCACTGAACGATGTTCAACTTTCGTCAAATCCATGACACACACTCAGGCAAAGAAATCTAATGCGCTACCATTTTGAACGGACTTGAGCCACTGAGCTGGTATAGTGGTGGGGCACTCACGAGACCTGTCGAGACATGTCACAGCAGGCACAGGCCTGTTGCTCATCCCTTTCATATTCAGGTAGATAACTTATTGAGTGGCCCTCGTACCTAAGCCGACGAAAAGGTCGCTTCTACGCCTTCTTTGTGGACCTGGAAAAAGCGTTCGATAAGGTGGACCGTGAACTGTTATGGAGTAAATTAGGTAATCTTCAGCTGAGCACGAAGATGCTGCGCATGCTACAGAGTACGATGAAGTGAGAGCCTCAATGGAAACCGACGGCACCGGCTATTTGAAGTGTTTAAGTGGTGTCCGCCAGGGTTGTTTTTTGTCTCCTCTCATGTTCAATCTGTTTGTCCAAGACCTACCAGCCTTCTTGAGAGAAAATGCCCCGGAACCTATCATGCTAAACAACTTTCCTGTGTCGTGTCTCATGTATGCGGACGACTTAGTAATTTTCAGCGACACTCCCCTCCGCCTTCAAAAACTCGTTGACCGTTTGAAAGAATACTTAGATAACTGGAACTTACGTGCAAATCTACAAAAGTACCAAATCATAGTTTTTCGACAGGGTGGTCGCCTTACACAGCATGAGAAATGGTTTTTCGGCGGTAATCGAATTCAGGTCGTTCCATACTATAAATATCTCGGCATGATCTTCGCTCTCGTGGCACGTGGAGAAAAGCCCAAAAAGCCCTTGCCCAACAAGCTAGAAAAGCCCTGGGAAACCAGCCCTAATCAAATACTTCCCTCTCCCCTCAAACATGCTGCTGAAAATATTTGACACCAAATTTCTCCCTGTGGCAAACTACGGGTCCGAACTTTGGTGCTTTGAAAACAGGCGGGAGAGTGACACGTTGCATAACAAATTCTGCAAATGGATATTGACATAACACGATGCCTAACAACATTGCGCGTGGGGAACTAGGTCGGCAAAACTTAATTTGCGACCAATATATATGGGCGCTCAAGTACTAGCAGCGTTTAATCTCCATGCCAGACACCAGACTTGCAAAAAAGGCCTATATATGGCAACTAGGATGGTGTGAACGAGACCTCGCTTGCTGGACCGGAAACATCCGGAGACTATTGTGCTCGTATGGCTTTGGAGAAGTGTGGTATCCCCAGGCAATTCCATGCAGGGATGTTCTGGCTGAGAGAACAACAAGGTAGATAGAGATTACCATGACAGACTGTGCACACTGTGCAACCGTGGAGAGATTGAAGACGAATTTCACTTCATGCTAATCTGCCCTGTATACTCGTCATACAGAAACGCTCTAATACCACGGTATTACCACGACCACCCCAACAAACAGAAATTTTCAATTTTAATGCAATCATCACATATTAATACAATCAAATATATGGCGAAATTCCTTGAACTAGCCCGCGATCTCAGAATAGAAATTATGAGAACGTAAAAGTTACTAAAGAAAAGTCAAATATTTGTGTAATAATGTCTAAGACATTGAACACAATAAACTCTTTCATTCATTCATTCATTCCCCTTCGTTCTCTATGACTCTCTGCCACCTTTCTACAAGCATTTCAATTCCATGTTCATAAAATTCCTTTGGCTTTGAAGCAAAAAATGCGGACAGGTCACTTTTGATAGCCTCCAAACTTTCAAATTCTTTTCCGTTGAGATAGTTTTGTAGACTTCTGAATAGGTGGTAATCGGAGGCTGCAATGTCTAGTGAATACGGCGGATGTGGAATTTTTTCCTAACCCAGCTCTTCCATTTTGGCACACGTGATCCGAGCGGTATGAGGACTCGCTTTGTCCTGATGAAACAAAACACCCTTAGGATTGGCCAATGAAGGACGTTTTTCCTGCAATGCAGCGCTCAAACTTTGGAGCTGCCGGCAGTATACCTCCGCTGTTATGGCTTCATCGGGCTGCAACAGTTCAAAATAAACAACGCCAATAAAATCCCACCAAACGCACAGCAAAACCTTCCTGGGGCGAAGACCTCTTCTTGCCTGTGGTACAGCAGGTTCCCCGGCACTAGCCCACCGACGACGACGCTTAACATTGTGATAAAGCACCCATTTTTCATCCCCAGTAATGAGTCGATTCAAAAAAGTGAAGTGCACGAGAGTGTAGGGAAGAACAAATGTTTACTCGATCCAAAAGATTGTCTGGTGACACATGTGGAACCTACTTTCCAAGTTTTGCCTAGCCATCGCAAGTGGCGGTGAACGGTGGAATGGGTGGAATTGAACTTCTGAGCAAGTTCTTCAACAGTTACAGCAGGATATTCATCGAGTGTAGCCACCAGCAGTTCATCATCAAACTGAATAGGTCGGCCTGAACGTGCTTCACTGGTTAAGCTGTAGTCACCAGACCTGAATTTCTTTGGCTCCACCTTTGGCATTTCCTCGCATTCAGAGCTTCCTCAGGTATTTGTAGAGCTTACAAAAAGCACCGACGTCAGCGCAATAAGGGAAAGAATTTAAGTATTTCGTAATATACGGATTACACAAGAAGACTCACCTCCATCTTGTCTTTAGTGTCCAAGAAAAACGTAGCACTGTTACCTCGTGAAAACCTGCACTATATTGACGACTAACCCCTGCACAAGTTAGCATAGAAATATTTCATGGGATGTTCGCAGATACATGTATAAAGAAGACACAAGTAAGGCAATGCCAAAAAAACGACATTACTTACGGGATGACCTGATACTTCGATACGTGTGAAAGGCATTCATCATACTATACAGGTAGTCATATTTCATACCATACAAGTAGTCATATTACACAACAACGATGAAAAAAAAGATTCACATCGGAAACACTGTACGTGATGACCATGCACCATCAAGACTGTCACCGAACAAGACTTCTGCATTATTAATTAGGAAAGCAAGGATGATTTCAGCAGTCATTGCAATTCAAGATTGATTAGAGCATATCTAATTAATGTCGTCACTTCACTTCTCCTACACCAGGGGTGTCAAACATACTGCCCACAGAGGTGGTTCATCCGGCCCGCCGTCTGTTCTTTAAATTTCCACTTTGATTGAATCCAATAGTTAAAAGGTGGAAAGTTAAATGAAAAATGAACTTTCCCCAGTAGCTCGTAACAATGAATCAACATTGATTAAATGCTGATTCAGCGTCTGGATAATGATTCATTGTTAGGTGCCCTACTAAGGTAACCAATGAAGTCACTGGGCTTGATATCCTCCTAAAAGCAAATAATTGTTTCTCCGAAGTATTACCCAGGTAGCCCTAGGTGGCCCTTTTAAGTCACAGGGCCTCTAAATTCCGATGTGCATATCCCCCACCCTTAGGAACTAAGATTTAAAGTTTAAGGTTATGGGTTACACCGATCCCATCCCGACAAATTCACTTTCGTTTATTACTTAGGTAAATGCCCATATTTGAACATGTCTTCAAGTCAATCAATTAATTGGCTTTAAAAATAAACAATTAATATATTATATTTTATTGAATGTCCTTTTACTAATTTTACGTTTGCATTGCATTACACGGTGTCTGATGCACAAGAGAAATTTTCGTTTTTTTCCTTTAGTTTGTTTTCTGCGACATAATTTTAACATGGCGGAATTTCCGCCACCTTATTATTTCCTGTAAATCGAGCATTTTTCTTCATCGAAAGTATTTTGGGCGATTGGCTAATCTATTCAGCGAACCCTGATGGGGTGCGCAAAAATAATTCTAGCAGTAGACATAAAACAAGGGATTTTCTATTGCAGAAGAATCCATTGAACGGAGACTGATTTAATGTTGACACTTCCGCCTTGAATAGTGCACCATTGAACCAATCATTCAAATGAATCAATTTTATGTGCTACCTTGGAAGAGCCATCTTGACTGCTTTCCCCAAACTTGCATGTCCGCTTTCTCCTATATTGGATAGTGCCAAATACAAGTTCAGGTTCTACCTAAGCGTTACAAAAACTTCCAACATTCTCAACTTCAATTTGAAGCAGTATCATGTTTCATGCTGTGTTTGGCACTATTGAGGAATCGACGTGAAAATGAAAAAAAAACAAAGAAAACTATATGCTGGCACTGCTAAAATAAACTGTTTATGAAAGTCCCAGTTTCCCAGTTTTTTTCCTATAAATAGGAGGAAATAATATTGCTGATTCAGGTCTGAGGAAGTGCAGGAATGCCGCTGGAAGGTGTATAATTCCTAAGAAAAGATTAAGACCGGCAGAATCACAGTAATAAATAAAACTAGTCGCGCAGAGCGATGCATGCGGACATCGAACTTTCTCCCGTCCCACTGTAACGAAGATCCATAGTATTGTACGAAATATCTTAATTTCAGGGGACTGTTAAGACTCACTTGGCTCGCACTGACTCCCTGCCTCGCATGGTTCCTCCTGATCATCAGGCCCACAGAAGGGGACATCGCAATATTCCCATGGTAAGTCTAAACCACCAGAATCCTTGATGTTGCACCAGGGACCGCCTGGGTTTCCATTCGGGTTTCTGCAGTAGTTGTGTTCGACTTTGTGCTCATCCGGGAAAGTTGAGATGCTGATAGTAGCAAATCTGTCCTCTTCTTTGTTCTCCGCATCTTGCCACGGTTTGCATGGGAAGCCCGAAATAGTCACGTTCTTCCTTCCCATGTATTCTCCCCCCTTCGGCGTCATTTTGCATTTTCGAATAACTGAATGTGCCAACATCGCCAGGAAATTAATATTAGTAGTTTCAGCAATATAATCACTGGAATACATGAATGATTACGGAAAAACTGATTTACGACTTTTTGTAACAACATCTATCATTTGTTCAATTGCACCATTTCCAACTGCCATGATGCCATGTTGCGTCATGCCTTTCTCTAATTTCTCATATTATACCAAACCAACTCGATTCTGTGCCCACGTATGAGGAAAGAAACGCCTCCTTTACGGATCGGTCGAGCTGGGGTGAGCATTCCCCCTCGAAGAATCCATGTCCAGACAGTGAAGAAAAATTCCCTTCACCCTCCTCAGTATGGAAAGAACGACTTAATCAGAAAAAAACTTTTCTCTCCATCTACCTGTTAAAAGTAAGCGTAGGTGTATCCTGATATTCTCTGAGGCATAAATCGGTAATGTAGACTTTCTCGATTGCGCCATCACCTTCATCTTCAAGAATGTTTCTGCGATATAGGGCTACACATTCAGCAGCAGCTCGATTTCTATGGACTGTGGGAGCTGACAGAGAACCCAGCTGTTTTTTTGACCTGCTTTGAATGGATGAAGAGTGAGTTCATTGGCGAGGGATAGTAAATCTATGGAGGAAGGAATTTCATGACAAAGGATGGCTGAATTAATATTCATTAAGCCATACTGTTGTCCATGATGGAAATAGCTTCGTACTCTGACCCTACCATTGCATTCGTTGCAACGAGGTGGCCTACCATTAAATTCTTCACCCGCCCTTGTCTGAACAAGAATTCCTCGAGGGTGAATGCTCACCACTGCTCGTCCCCTCCGTAAAAGAGGGTTTCTCTTCCTCATACACGGGCTCAGACTCATGTTGGTTTGGTATGCTTAATCTCATAACTGTCACTCTCACTCGAAGGCTATACATGCGAGAGGCTGCTACTTGGAATCCACCTAATTATAAATGTGTGCTTCATGTTCCTCATTCTAAGCTCATTGTAGACATTGCTGTTGACGAATATCGAACGTGCCAGATAATTTATCATGTTATTTGCAGCTGTCTCAGAGACCACGGGGACAATATACCCATTCGTGGTTATAAAAAGCCAGACGTTACATAATGAGTTGAACGGTGCTATCTTGACTAAATTAGAATGACATAATTTGTTTCACATCAAGTTTCATCTAAGACCTTAAATGAAACATCATTACGTCTCAAGTATTTAATGAGTGTTTACTCTACTGTTTGACAAAGTCAATATAATTACGGTTGGTTTTCAAGAGCGCTGGAAAAGTACAAAAGAAAGATTGCACCTGAAGTTTCCCGTTCTCGTGGACCAGTTGACGCTCTAGGATGTATGGGTACATTTTCCTCTCGCCTTCCATTTCAGAAATACTGCATAAATGAGTGAATGTCTATTGACGCATTTTTGTATTATTTTATTATTTTTTTTTTTTGGGGGGGGGGAGGATGGTCAGGAAAATCAGTGTTTTTCAAATGTTTATGAATGAATGGGACTTCCGGGACACCATGCAGTGCAGATTGTCGCACCGGCGAATGGAAAGGATACCTATTTTTGACACGTTAATTTTCACTTAGAATGTGTAAGTTAAAATAGTAAATGCAAGTCAAAGAACCGCGTTTCTTACTAGCAGTGAAAAAGTGGCATTCCTCTAATCGTTGCATTTTGTACGTAACATGTATTTTATTTAAATTTCCGCATTACTCCTTTGTAGAGAGAGGAATTGTTCACCAGAATCCTTGATGTTGCACCAGGGACCGCCTGGGTTTCCATTCGGGTTCCTGCAGTAGTTGTGTTCGACTTTGTGCTCATCCGGGAAAGTTGAGATGCTGATAGTAGCAAATCTGTCCTCTTCCTTGTTCTCCGCATCTTGCCACGGTTTGCATGGGAAGCCCGAAATAGTCACGTTCTTCATTCCCATGTATTCTCCCCCCTTCGGCGTCACTTTGCATTCTCGAATACCTGAATGTGCCACCATCGCCAGAAAATTAATAGTTTCAGCAATATAATCACTGGAATACATGAATGATTACGGAAAAACAGATTTACGACTTCTTGTAACAACATCTATCATTTGTTTAATTGCACGATTTCCAAATGCCATGATGCCATGCTGCGTCATGCCTTTCTCTAATTTCTCATATTATACCAAACCAACTCGATTCTGTGTCCATGTATGAGGAAAGAAAAGCCTCCTTTACGGATCGGTCGAGCTGGGGTGAGCATTCCCCCTCGAAGAATCCATGTCCAGACAGTGAAGAAAAATTCCCTTCACCCTCCTCAGAATGGAAAGAATGACTTCATCAAAAATAACTTTTCTCTCCATCGACCTGTTAAAAGTAATCGTAGGTGTATCCTGATATTCTCTGCGGCATAAATCGGTAATGTAGACTTTCTCGATTGCCCCATCACCTTCATCTTCAAGAATGTTTCTGCGATATAGGGCTACACATTGAGCAGCCGCTCGATTTCTCTGGACTGTGGGAGCTGACAGAGAACCCAGCTGTTTTTTTGACCTGCTTTGAATGGATGAAGAGTGAGTTCATTGGCGAGGGATAGTAAATCTATGGAGGAAGAAATTTCATGACAAAGGATGGCGGAATTAATATTCATTAAGGCATACTGTTGTCCATGATGGAAATAGCTTCGTACTCTGACCCTACCATTGCATTCGTTGCAACGAGGTGGCCTACCATTAAATTCTTCACCCCCCCTTGTCTGAACAAGAATTCCTCGAGGGTGAATGCTCACCACTGCTCGTACCCTCCGTAAAAGAGGGTTTCTCTTCCTCATACACGGGCTCAGACTCATGTTGGTTTGGTATGCTTAATCTCATAACTGTCACTCTCACTCGAAGGCTATACATGCGAGAGGCTGCTTCCTGGAATCCACCTAATTATAAATGTGTGCTTCATGTTCCTCATTCTAAGCTCATTGTAGACATTGCTGTTGACGAATATCGAACGTGCCAGATAATTTATCATGTTATTTGCAGCTGTCTCAGAGACAACGGGGACAATATACCCATTCGTGGTTATAAAAACCCAGACGTTACATAATGATTTGAACGGTGCTATCTTGACTAAATTAGAATGACATAATTTGTTTCGCATCAAGTTTCATCTAAGACCTTAAATGAAACATCATTACGTCTCGAGTATTTAATGAGTGTTTACTCTACTGTTTGACAAAGTCAATATAATTACGGTTGGTTTTCAAGAGCGCTGGAAAAGTACAAAAGAAAGATTGCACCTGAAGTTTGCCGTTCTCGTGGACCAGTTGACGCTCTAGGATGTATGGGTACATTTTCCTCTCGCCTTCCATTTCAGAAATACTGCATAAATGAGTGAATGTCTATTGACGCATTTTGTATTATTTTATTTATTTATTTATTTTTTTTTTGGGGGGGAGGATGGTCAGGAAAATCAGTGTTTTTCAAATGTTTATGAATGAATGGGACTTCCGGGACACCATGCAGTGCAGATTGTCGCACCGGCGAATGAAAAGGATACCTATTTTTGACACGTTAATTTTCATTTAGAATGTGTAAGTTAAAATAGTATTGCAAGTCAAAGAACCGCGTTTCTTACTAGCAGTGAAAAAGTGGCATTCCTCTAATCGTTGCATTTTGTACGTAACATGTATTTTATTTAAATTTCCGCATTACTCCTTTGTAGAGAGAGGAATTGTTTTTGCNTGCAAGTCAAAGAACCGCGTTTCTTACTAGCAGTGAAAAAGTGGCATTCCTCTAATCGTTGCATTTTGTACGTAACATGTATTTTATTTAAATTTCCGCATTACTCCTTTGTAGAGAGAGGAATTGTTTTTGCATATCTTCATCACACCAACTTTCCAAGGTATTCCAAAGGAATGTGCCTGCTTACTCAAGTCTTCGCAGAGGGGAATCCGGCAGTACTCGGGATGGATGTGGCCGTCATCCACGAAGCACCAGGGCCTCTCCTTCGATGTGGGATTACGGCAGTAGTTGTCATGCGAAAATGGGTCCAGGTTTATGAAGTGCTCCTTGTAGAACAGGTTTGTGTTGAACCCATCCAGAGAGTCGGCATTAAACAATTTAGCCAATTCAGGAGAATCCCATCTTAGGCAAGATTTCCCCATCTCTGTCTGATTCATGCCCCCCATATATTCCTTCCCTATTTCTGATAGCCGGCATTCTGGATATACCTCACCTATGAAAGGAATTGGCTTGGCAAAAAAAATATTTGCAGAAAGTATTTGAAAAAAGCATTGGAAATCCAAAATCGTGAGATTTCATATATAGCATCGTTCATTTCATTTCATTCATAGCATCGTTCCCTTAAGTGGCTACATTCCATTAAGTGATTACGAATCATCAGATGGCGTGCGAAATCCTCTTGAAGTGAAACGTATGTGTGTGAAACGGAGAAGAAAATGGGATTCGTCCAAATGGACGCCAATCTCCTTCATTTTAGAAGTGAATGCATAGAGGCTGGGCAGTTCTTCACCCAATAATAGCAACGTAGAATACTTACAAACTCATAGTAGCAGACTAATCCAAAATAATGTTGAGTTACAGTAACGTAAACGAAGTAATGTCTCACTTAGGCAGTCCAATTGTCAAAGGAAAGCTTGTTGCGTGCATCTCATAATGAGATATGGTAGGGGGGCCAAGTGGTTATACAGGCTGTCCGGGAATTGACTGGATATCATTCTTCCGGATAGCCAATGGTCGAGAAAGGCATGGTTATATAACCCGACCTCATGCCAGCAGACTTTTGGCTTTGGGGATATCTCAAGTCTGTCGTGCATCGTGTGGCATCTACCTCATTAATGGACCTCTAACATGCTATTCGCCATTTTTTGGCTACGTTACACCCTAGTAGCACATAACATTGAATCGACATTGACTCAACGTTCGTTCAACGTCCGGTTAATGAATCAGCGTTCAATCAACGTTGTTTCAATGTCATCTGCTACTAGGGCAAGGACAGCTTCAATCAGCCGTCTATCATTGCATATCCCGAACGCAAGCAATCGTTGACATGAATGGAGACAACATTGACCAAATGTATCAAATCTTACAAATGAGCGAAGACTGGTGGCCATATCCGATGACCACCAAAGACTACAGCCTTAAGATGCATCCTTTGCATATTATAACTATCTGAACATGGGAAGAAACCTCATATTGATCCTATATACAGGTTGTTCATATCTAAAAGCAACATTGAAAATCCTTTGCCGCGTGTTTGTGGAGTTCAGGGCGTGTCGTAAAGCACACCGGCTTGCATATCTGGATGGATGAAACCTATCCCTGGTGTGTTTCCTCGCCAGTATGCAACCCGGTAGACCTTGTAGCATTGGCCGAACTCCACCTACAGGCGGCAAAGTCTTTTCTATTCTGCGTTTAAATACAAACACTCTGTATGGGGCTAGCCACACCTCTTTTAAACGTAATTGATAGAGAGTACCATTCTTTTAACATCTTAACTTTTCCACTCTACTGTTTCTTCATTTTAATGCTAACACTTTATAGTAACCTTGTATATAATAACTTCTTGAAAGATCGGCGGTATTTTCTCTTTCAGTCAATAAAATCATACAAACTACTCATTAGTCTAGTAGTGGAAAGAGCAAGGACTATATCCCCTACTGGATTCCTTCCTTTAAAGAATTATTTCCTCAATCCTGGGTATTAAGTTAACTTCCATTTCTACCCTCTCTCGCTACTATTGATTTCGAGATCTACTGCACTCTACGTTTTAGAGGCCCTTTGAAATGGTAGATGCTTGTATGACTTCTCCCCTCTTTAACCTTTTCTCGGCCGAGTAGGATCCCAGCGTTCCAAAACGCGCCTCATATGAATGCCTTCATGTCTAATTCTATACATTCGAAACCCGTTTATTAAACCTCTTCTAGGAAATAAAATGACACGTGACCTAGTTCTAGGAGATAAAACCTTATGAATGCTAACTTTCCTGAAAAAAATCTACTGGACTTATAAAGAGCCTGGGCTTTCAAAAATATTAATCTTTAAGAGTCTCTCTCCCAGAGAACCCACTTAACTGAAAAGCGTTAATGAACATCTGAGTTATTAGAAAGGTTGACGTATTTTAATCATGTTCTAATGATCTCTGTTCTACCATTCTAACCCAATTTCTCTTTACCTCCTTTTCTACTTGCATATATTATTCTCACCTCAATCACACCCCTCTTCCTTGCATATTTCCTACCCTTTTCACGCATAGCACCGTGTTCATGTGTTGTTTTTTTGCATCTTCTTTGTATTCTTTCCCCAGTCACATTTCGTTAACTGGATTCTGTATATGATGAAGTAAATAAATCCGGGAGGATTGGGTGGGTTCCCATATTGTCAGTTTTCAAAAATGAATTTTTCAATTCGCAGAAGAGCTAATATTTAAAATAATCTAATGACATTCAATTATCAATAACTTAGTTCCAGAGTTTCGTGAAACAGGTTTCAACGCTCTGGACCGAGACGTGCACAGCCTCAGTTTAGACTCAACAAAAACGAATATTACCATTCCCCCAAACTCTTCGCTCCTTCTCCCCCTCCCCCTCCTCTCTCACGCACTTTGTATGCGACAATCTTACGTGGATGTGGACATGTGGGGGCCCTCTCTTCTACAAACGTCGAGCACCAATCATCAGGTGCCCTGGAGGAACAGGTGGTCATGTGCTGCTTGGAACCGTCACTGAATCCTCTCGGGTGCTTGCAAGTGAAGATGACCTTGCCGCCCTGTGGGACTGGATATTCACCCCTCCACCCCACGAATGTTTCCTCAGCGTTCTTGATCACCGGGTAACCCGTCAGGCACAGGACTGTGTCGGCGATGAGTGCACAAAAAACAACCCTGTGACCATAGCAATATCTCTAACTCCTTCAAATACGCAGTTATAAATAAGAAACCAGCTATTCCAGCAACACTGCAAAAAAAATTTTGTGGCCATAACACATGCTGGAAGACATTATGGAGCACCTTATCCGTGCCTTGGTGTTCCTTGAGGTGTTCTAGTGCGAAGAACACTTCGCCGAATACGTGAACGAAAAGGTCGGAGCACCTCAGTACACCCTAGAGAACACCGTAATATATCCCAGTACTCAAACGATGATCCCAAAAATGTCAGAAGTTAGCCTGGAAGTAAACCTAAAGCAAATGACGAGTTTCCATCATTCTGCAAAAAAGAGTAAAAGGGGGATGAGGTCGTTGGGACCAGTGGTCGGGACTATACAGGTCTCTATCTCTGGAGAGGCCTTCGCTGCTTGAAGGCATAAAAATGCCTCCGCCGTCTTGGGATAGGAGTCGCACGACAGAGTGAATAGTATGATGAGGTGGATGCCGGCGTAATGTGCCTTCGCGTATGGGACCCGGGGGAAATTGCCTCTTTAACCTTCCCCTTGTTCAAAAGCTTGCTAACAACTCCCTCGCGCGACTTTCACGAACGTAATTAATTAGGGCGCGGACCTTACTCAAAGTTCTAGTAGTAGAGTAGAGTAGGGATTAGATCCTTCTGCGTATAAATCCAAAACCCCTATGAACATTTTTCGCATAATGTATTCATAGGCTTTAAACCCGATGAGGAAAAGTTTTCTACATTCATGTTAAAAAAAAGAAACTCAATAGTAAGCCGCATATAACATTATAATTATGTTCCTTGAAAAACCACAACTTGAAAAGACAAGTTGGAAACGGTTAAAATCGCGTCAACAATAAACATTTGCTTTGAGAGAGTGGTGATAGTAGTATTAAATAATGAAATAAATCTGGATGGGATCTCGTGAAACTCACATTGGACATATGTATTGAATCCGTCTGAGGGGACAAGGTCGCTTCGGTTATTTTGAATTAGCTGGCAGGAGCCATCCAGTTCCTTGAAGTTGAAGGCATGGCAAGACCGGGCGGGTATGGTATTCGAGCATTCAGATGAGCATTCCCCAAAGTTCATTACTTGCAACGCACGCGACACGTTCCCGTACCGCTCCCCTTTTTTCCCGGCATAATACACGATGAACTCGGAAGATGTTATAGACCGGAACAAGCAGGAAAGCGTTGCTAGCATGAAATGCCAAGCAATAACCCTATAACCAAGAAAAAAGGAAAACAAAAAACATATACCAGGTATACTAGTCAATAAAATGGCGTATGTTAGACGCTTTCGAAAACCTATATAAATCCTAGCTTTAACATACCGTATAATGGGATGAGTTGACCCCATGGGGTTAACTTAAAACATTCCATGGAGGAATCTAAAAATAGTAAAATATGCAAGTTGCAACAAGAACTCGTTTCCATTACCTGTTTAAAGATTTATTTTCTTTCTTTCTCAAGTAGTTTGATTTCAAATAATTTGATTTTGTACAATGATCAGAAATTGGTTATAAATATCATAGAAAAACCTTAGCAACTGATACGTCCTCAAGCATGCTGAAAACAAGCGTATTTCAAAATGGAAAGATTGCTTTTATATTTGCATTTTCTGCATCTATTCTAAGTGGTTTTTTGTATTGTCAGATGATGGCCAGCAAAAATTATTTTCTCATGAAAAGTATCCCTTCCATCCCTGTATTTTTTATTATTTGGATCTCATTTTGCTGACAACAGGGTGCAAGGAATCCCATCCATTTTTTAGGCGCAGATTCACATTTATAGAATCCAGTCCTCCAGATTTAAATTTAAAGTAAGTAATGTTTTCCTTGATATTTTTATTTATTCGTTTTCATTATATTTTTAGTTATGATCCATCATATTTAATATCTTAACCTTTTAGACATGCCGCAAAAAATACTAACGCAAACCTGGGATCTAGGAACCTAGGAGCAAACTGAACATAAGGGTCTTGAATCTATCAGGATCAATCTTGAGATGTCCTCACAAGGAAGACACTCTGGACTCTAAGCGTTAGGGCTTTCTTGAGGCAATCAAACCATTGAACTACATCAACACGAAGGTAGGGTGTGGGGTGCCAGGAATGTTTAAGTTCAGAATCAAGAAAAAAAACACTAGAACAAAGGAAGTTTTCTAGTTTCTTGGTTTTTCAGACGTAGGGGAACTTTCTTGAAATGTTCATCAGGAAATTCCACATTTCCATATATCAGGCTGCAACTGGATTATTAGTGAACGAAAGATGCGTTCATTTGCCACCTCCCCATTAGCATATAACATTGAATCATCATTGATTCAACGTTGGTTCAATGTTTGGATGTTGAATCAACATTGAATCAATGTTTTTTCATTGTTATACGGTACTATGGCCGAAAGGTAAGTTCTTAAAACAGACTTCTTATTGCAGCTTTCTTGAATATTGAGTGTCATAGTGTGGTAACTGACAAAAGGAATGTGCCCCTCTGTTAGAGGATTGTGTTTGAATGGAGTGCTGAGGAACTAAGAGACACTACAGAACAAAGTCCATAAAACGACTGGAAACTTTGACATTTTCTCTCCTTCCAATCGTTACATCTACACACACACGATTTGTGTCCTATTTTCTCAGGTGAGGCATAAAAATACTGCTCAATGAAGTGCATTAAAGCAAAAAGCGCCTCATTAAGAAAGTCTGGCATCATGATGTGATAGGAAAGTAATATATTTTTTTAGAGGTGGAGAAACCGCACCCATCGGGTGCGTGAAAAAGTATGATGTTTCTTGTATCAGTTTGAATCCCTGTTCCTTTCTATCAAGCCAATCAAGAATCATGAAACTTTTAGAAAGCACATGGTAAAGTTATTGCACTGTGAAACGAATTACGAACCTAGAATTTATCAATTAGTTTCAACTTGTGAAATATTAAATGTACGTTGATAACGAAGCGGAACTCAGCAGCTGGTCTGTCGTCCAGGGCCCGAATCTTGCACATCGATGAAGAAAGGTTCAATACGAGTTAATCCCAGGGGTTCTTTTTGGCATATAATAACAGAGGGTCTTCCCGACGTAAAGAGAAAGCGAGACGAAAGAAATTCCTGTAATTATCACTTAAACTTTCGTCTCAAAGAAATCTTAACAAAATATGGGAAGCTGATCAAGTCTAACGCATTTCCAAGAGGGGAATATTTGTTGTTTGTTTTCCAATTATGAAGGGGGAAGTATTTGAATATGTATGCAGAAGCTGAAATGGACCCTTGTGCCCAATTGAGTTTTGAAATGAATTTATAGAGAAGATGTACTGAATTCATTTAGTACTACTTAGATTGCGGTGTAAGGATTATTAATTTTTCATCCAAGACCTTGAGACTGAAGCATATTAGCTTATTTTTCTCATAGGATATTTTTTTTTCTAGCGAGTTTGTTTGTCCGAAGGGCAAACAAACTCGCTATAGTCGCGCCTTCGGCGCTCCATTACCTTGAATAGTGATTAATTCATTGATTCTTTGCGAAATGGCAAACAAGTATTTAAAGTACGTCCACATTGAAATACGTGACTTATGGGGACGAAAGTCTTGATTTTGACCAAAATCATTACTTCTATGATTTCTAGTGAGCCTAACTTGAAATTCTTTCTTGTGTCCCATTTTGTTAGGGTGGAGAATACATTTTGAAATACTTCCCTCTTATAATCTACGCTAAGGAGACATATTACAAAAGTAGGATTTTTTCTATACTCAGCCATCAATCAGGTACTTCTGAGGGAAGTTTACAATTTCTGTCCCTGTTTCGATGGATGAAAAAAAAAATTTCAGGAAGATGGGACTGAAAAAAGTGACATGATGGGTTTTTAAAGAATTTCTTTATTTTTGAAATGTAAGCTCAGGGAACTCCATGCCAGCCAGTTTCAGCCGGATCGTTTCTCCTTTTGCTGGCGGAAAAAAATGTATTTGGAAAAGCGACTCACTCAAAAGCTGTGCTCTGGGGGGACGCACAACAAAAACTAAATTTTTCCTTAAATCAACATCACGTCCGTTATGAGTGCCCAAGCTACTTTTCTACTTCTGCCCGATTCTGTAAGATATGAAAACGTATTTCAAAACGTTACGTCCCCAAGAAATATGAACCCCAAAATATTTTGCAAATTTTGACGTTTGACGTTTGAGCTCATTGCGTCACGTTCTTGCCAAGTTTCAGCTTTTCATGTGCCTCAGTTTGATTGAAGCAAAGAGAACAATTTTAAAAAATTTTCCCCCTGAAAAGGTGTGCCCTATGGCATGTATCACCTAATTATAATTTTTCCTGAACTCAACATGCGAATAGCTACTTATGTCCCTCAGCCAGCTATTCACAATCGTCTAAATATAACAAAAGTGGATTTTTTTCTTTACTCAGATATCCATTAAGTACTTCTTTGCCAAGTTTAAACTTTCATGCGCCCTCTGTGTTGCTGGATCAGAAAATTCGTAAACTGTTTTAAGCTGAGCTGTTTTAACCGAAAATTACCATTTCTTAAATCCAGAAATCACTTCACAGTGAACTACATGGGCACCAAGTTTTAACATTATACGTTTGCCCTTTTCCCTGGGGAAAAAACATGTTTGTAATAGCCCACCCACCCAAAAGCTATGCCCGGAGTGGATGCATCATGAGAGTTGAATACTCCCTCAATTCAATAATATCATGTCACTTATAAGTGTGCCAAGTTTCACCATTCCATTTCTGTCCAATGCGGCACGTCAATTTTTTTTTCAAAACATCGCCCCTCGAAAAAATTCCCCCAGGGGATTTATCGAGACTTAACATTTTTATTTAACATCTTGTCTCTGTAGTCACATTCATGCAAAGTTTCAGCTTTCCACATTCATCAGTTGAACAGATGCAAAAAAAATTAGTTGAAATCATCTCCCTTTGAATTTTGTGCCCCTGGGGTATTTACATTCAAAGTCTGAATTTTCCTGCACTCAGCATCTCAATAGGTAGATATATTCCAAGTTTCATATTTTCCCATTAGGTCAATACACCAGGCCAAAAAAAAATACTTGAAAACGTTGGCCCCCGAAAAATATGTCCCCAGTGCATGGACCTAAAAGTTTGCATTTTTCCTGAGCTCATCGTCTCGGTAGGCACGTCCATGCTAGGTTTCAGCTTTCCATGTTGCTGTGTTTTATTCAAGCTTAAATAATATTGTGGTGGTCTAATGAGTAACGGAACATGGAAGGCAAGAGAAGCCAAAAATAAGCCATGGAATGACCGGGAATTGAACCCGGACCTAGTGATTGCTTGTCAATAGTGCCACCACTATACCACCGAAACCGCGACATCAAATCGGCCCTCCCAATTCCATCCTGATACGTCACAATATATATTTTAAAAAAAAATTCCCCCCCCAAAATGTGTATCCCCAGGGTATATACCTCCAAAGTCTGCTTTTTTCTGAACTCTGCATCCCAAAAGGTACATATGTACCAAGTTTCAGATTTCTAACCTTTCTAGAACATGGTTAGAATTAGCGGCAGTCAGTTCAGTCAGTCAGTCACGATCGTCTGTATCTATTAGACTAGCTTGTCTCGCTTGTCCATAGTGAGTTCGTTTGCCCTTCGGGCAAACGAACTCGCTGTGGTCGCTCGGCACTCCATTACCTTGGATAGTAAATTAACACATTCATTATTTGCGAAATGGCAAACATAAATGTAAAGTGCGTCCCCATTGAAATACGTAACACATGGGGACGAAAGTCTCAATTTTCATCAAAATCATTGCTTCCATTATTTCTAGTTTGCCTAACTTGAAATCTTTTTATGTGTCCCTTTTTGTAAGGGTGGAAAATACATTTTGAAATACTTCCCTCCTATAATCTACACTATTGGTACATATTTCAAAAGTAGGATTTTTCCTATACTCAGCCATCAAATAGGTACTTTTGACGGAAGTTTAAATTTTCTGTCTCTGTTTCGTTGGATCAATAGAAAATCATGTAAATGGGAATAAGAAAAAGTGCCATGATGGGTTTTAACGAAACTTTTTTTTCTTCTGAAATGTAGACTCAGGGAACTTTATGCCACCCAGTCTCAGTCTTATACGTTTCCCCTTTTTGCTGGCGGAAAAAATGTATTTGGAAAAGCGACCCAACCAAAAGCTGTGCTCTGAGGAGACGTATAAAAAAAGTTTAACTTTTCCTTAAATCAACATCACGTCAGTGATGAAGTGCGCCAGCTACTTTTCTTTGTCTGCCAGATGAACTACATGTTCACAAAGTTTCAATATTATATGTTTGCCCTTTTCGCTGGTGAAAAACATGCTTGGAAAAGTCAACCCACCCAAAAGCCATGTCTGGAGGGGATGCCCCATGAAAAC